TTAGCCTCGTCTATTATTGTGTCAATTTACAGTGTGCCTTCTCTCCTTTCCCTCTATCTGAAGCTTTTAAACCCAAAAAAAAAGATCTGACGCAATACCTGTCAATAGCAGCAAAATGACTGAGTAGTAGTAACTGCTGAAAGTTTAGGTTTCCAAAAATGAAATTGCACTTAGGAATGTAATGTTGAGACCCAACATCTGAAATATGAGAAGGAACATGAATGAGACAAGGAATCATAAATACAATGTTTGAGCAAGATTTTGACTGTTCAACTTTTATACTGGCAATGAGAAAATAAGTTTACAAAGTTGGACAGGGAGAGCATAAAATATTAGATTTATGTGAATGACAAATTCAGGACCATCCCGTCGAGTCTGCAGTCAATTTATAAAGAGTATGTGGGAACTGGACATGTTCTCCAGTAGTTTTGTTACTAAAACCCAACAAACACTTCCAAAATGCGGTTTTGTTTGGTTTAACCCAATGTATTGATGCCAAAGGCCTAAAGCTGCCATGTGTACTCCCACCCTCTTTCACAAAAAGAAATCCCACTAAAACTAATATAACACAGCATAGAATGTTTTCATGCCCGAGGATTTGATTATATTGACGTAATGTGTTTAATCAGATTGATTTTATTACCATTTTCTCTCATCAGTTTATCATCAGTTATGGCTTTGAATTGAAAAAAAGTTTCTTTAATACTAATGTTGTGCTCATGTTGTCATATTGTTTGTAAACCTATAATATCTTGGAAATCAGTAGGCAGTGGGGGGTCAAGAGGAAAACATTGTGACAGAAGCCCTTTCAGTGTGCTGGCCCAGAGAGAGCTCACAGCCCGGTGAGGTCTGCCTGCAGAGTGGCTGGAATGAATCATCGGAGTTAATGTGCTCGCACACCAAACATCTGACTGGGAGATGCTAGGACTGAAATTCTTCCACAACCAGAGTAAGAGTTAGAACTTAACAAAGTATTAACTGTGTTTCTAGCTATAATGAGGACTCACTACTATGTGATTACCCTTACAGCAAATGTACACATGCTGTACAGTATATATCTACGTATGTAAAAGTATTATTTTTTGTGCGAAACCTGTTAACATTCGATCAACTGATGATGGAATTGGCATCATACAGTCCATGAGGTTTACAAATGTATGACTACAGACAGTAACAATGTTGAGTATAGTGCAAGAGACAACCTCAGTGTACTTTAAACCTGTAATCTTTTTATTGGTCAGCAGGGGGCAACTCCAATGGTCTGTTGTGTAGAAGTCAATGAAAAAATGATCACACTTCTCAGTTGATTTATTACCTCAGTCCACAAACTCATGGACATTGTCATAGCGACTACGTCCACTTCTTATATACACTGTATGGTGCATGGAGTTGACCCATTCAAAGTACAGTCAGTTGAATAACATGTCTTTTAAAAACAACCCAGACATACAGTTGAATCCTTAAACTGCACTTGGTAGTAGTTACAGTTAGTAATGGCTTCTAGCTAGAAGCTTTGAAACAGAACATTAATTCAGTGCCAGCCAACAAGCTTAAATGTAAAATGCACACCGAGGATTAAATTGTCCAATCCCTTAACACTTTCCCAGAATGTGTGCAAGACTAATAAACAAAGACATCGAATAACAGTTCTTTCACAATCGCAAACCTTAAACAGTCAGTCCTTGTAACCAAAAGGCTCCTTCCCAAAATGTTACTGAATGAGGTCACCTCACTACAAATTGCACAAAACCCCTCGACATCATCAAATTAAAATGCCTTTGTGGGTCCAACATTAAGGAAGTTGAAGAAATTGAACAAAAAATCTCAACTCAAGAAAAACCTTCAAGGCTTCTCAGACAGGTCTATTTCTTTAATTACAGAGTGAAGTTGTTGGGAACTGGAATGCCCACTTTATGTGTCTCACGTTAATCCAGTATGCTATGGTTTGCACTGAACTTTGCCAGAAGAGGGATTAAAGCCAGCGAGTTGTTCGTTACACAATACAAATAAAGGCTGAAGCACCACTTGCTTGAGGACTCAACACTATCAGTTTGGGTATCTACCAGCAAAGCCGGAGTAAAGCTGCAGTTTATCACAAGTGTTTTATGACAACATAGTCATGCCATCCAATCTGCACTGTTTTCATTTAACTTCACCAACAGCCAGGCAGGTGTCAAGTATTAATGTTGAATTCCTACGATGTCTCAGGGCTTAACTTGACCAATGCCAAATGAGGCAAACTGGCTTTCACCAGGACTAAAGAAAACATCCCACAACCTTTAAGACTGCGTCAAAAAGAAGAGGAGCTATTTTCCCCTATTCATCAGAATTGTACTATTAACTTAATCAATGACTTTGGCTCAAGTCCACCAGTTGGTTGTTGAAACAGGATACTTGGTACTTGGGAGTTTTTAAAGTAAAAGAAAGTAATAAACATTGGTATCATTTCACAAAAATGTGCAAATACTGTATGAGATGATCAGTCTTCCTTTTATTAAAGGACACCTATCATGCTATATTTGAATAATATATTGTCGGGCCATACCTATATAAGGTATATTTATACGTTTTCTTTTTCAAAATACCAAACAGATCATGCATTTTAGCCATGCCTCATTTCGCTCAATTTTGCTCTCCTCCACCCTGTCTTTGCATGCGCTGCAGCTGACCACGCCCCCCTGCAAAGGAGGGGGCCGAGTTACGAGCGTCGTGTTACCATGCTGTTACCATGCCACGGCAACCTCTCATTCCCCTGATAGGTCAGCTCCTCCGTCCTGACGTCAGAGGAATGTTCAAATCTGGATCAGTCTGTATCAGATCCGTTGCAGCCCCGTTTTTAGAGATTTGGGTATGGAGGAAAATAGAGAGGGTTGTGTTTTCTGACACTTGGTGAGTTCCCTGGAACACCGGGGACACATATTCATGTATAAAAGACGTACAAAAGTGCATTTTGCATGATAGGTCCCCTTTAAGTTAGTGGCAAACAAACTTGAATACATTCCTAAGTTGAGAAATCTATTCCAAGAATGCTATCAACTATCTAGGTCTGGGTTTGATTAAGTTATCAAATGCAGCAATAAAAAAATAGAGGTCAAAATAACATGCAACTTAACTGCACCCATGTGACAAATGTTTGTTCGTAAATTTTAAGCATAGTCTGCCTACTCCATTATACTAGGAAGTTCCAGCAAAAGTAACAAAAGTACCTGTACAGCGTTATAGGTTACCATGACAGACGGCATATTTATTAACATACTCCTTTCCAGATGTTTCCTCTAGAACCATAACTCTTATACACTTGTTGATAGAAAAGCTTTGCACTACACTATATTTCAAGGGTTGAATTTCGCAGGTGTGAGAGGTGTTTTCTGTGCATAGGCATTAAATAACCGGATTGGGTGTTAATAGGGTTTATGTTACTCACAGATAATTGAACCTTGCACCATGCAGAGAGCATTTTTCCCCTCAAGATAGAGTGCGCAGTTACAGATGGAACGAGTTTGAGCGCCACAGAAAGGTTTGGTTTAGACAGATTCAACAATCACTTGAGATCAAAGTGCTGTAAAGCCAATATTGATATATGTTGGCTCCTTTACCTACTACATAATTTTCTTCAGTTCACCTCAAAATCTCAACTGAAATGTGTCTGGCACAAAGAAGAAAGGATGAATGTGCTATGAGGCAGAGAGAAGATGGGCAAAATACATTTTTAGATACAATCTATGACCTGATCAAAGCAGACTTGGTAAACTTTGTCAATGTGACCAAATTAGAGGAGGCCAATAAAGTAGCTAGACAAGAAAGACACTTTATATGGACACAATATGTAATCTTTCTTTCATCTTACAAGCTAAACATAATGCATCTAAAAGGAAGATAAGTAACATAAACAGCTGTGATCTTTAATCAAATAAATACAATTTAAAAAAATGGACTCTAGAATAGCCAGCCCCAGATGCTAAACATGTTTCCCAGATTGAGGCAGAATAACCTAGAGAATCTAAGGGAAAGCGCAGGCCAGAAACCTAATCAAAGCAATGCAGAAAGGGGAGAAAAAGCTAAATCATGGGTCGAATGAGAGGGAGAGGAAACGCATGCTCACAATCTCTCTGTGTGTCTGAAACAGATATGCTGTACCTTTAAACTGCACTTGATGCTGGGCGCTCAAACCTGCAAGTTTCTGCTTCACTGATTCTAGACAGAACAGTCCTCTAACTTCAGGAGAAGACCTGACACACATATGCACTGTGTCCACTGGGAGTTCATCAAGGGTGATGTAACACCAATTGCTTTTGGCAAAGTGAAAAGAGGGACCAGCTGGGTAACCTTCTCTTCCTGACATGTTATAGGATATGGTCTCCAGCCATGTAAACATATACTATGTATCATGCATAAGTGTGTGTGTGTGTGTGTAGAACGCAATTTAACCGTCTTAAGAACACAGAAAAAAAGGAGAGACACAGAAATGAACAGTTACTTTGGGTAGGAATGGGCATTACGAAAAATGATTGGTTCTTATTATTCAAGCTGGAATGATAAACGTTTTACTGTCAGTGAGAGTAAGTACCGTACAGAAATATCTGGTCAAATTCTGGACAGTGCTGAATCTCTACATTTGCAGGAACAGACATAACAAATATGATGCAAAGAAAAAAAATTCTATGTTCCATCCCATCATCAGGGACCCTAACCCTAACCCTGATGATGGGATGGAACAACACATTTCAGGGATTTAGAAATGTGCAGAAGATAGAGAAGACTAGACAATATTTAATTTCAAAGATTAAAAAAATCAAAGTTAGCCCTAAAAATATTTCTTATTTGATATACCTTTAAACTACATTACACACAGATAAATAATACATGGTGTATAAATAAATATGTGTACCTACTGTACAAAGCAAAACTTTGAGGAGGCACACAATCAAATTGCACCTGTTCTAAGCCTGTGATTGATGCAGTCCAATAAATGTCTGCGTTCACCTGCAGCACACACTTACCTCTTTGAAGAGAGGGATGAATCAGTGCTAAGAGGAAGAGTCCACAGAAGAGCAACAGAATGTTTCTGTTAGCCATCTCGCTGGAAAATGCACCACCCCTCTCCCGATCAGCTGGTTTTATTCTCTTCAAACTAATTACCACAAGCCCCCATAAGAGTAGGGAAAAGGTGAAAAAAAGGAAAAGATATGAGACTCGACGTAATTAAGAGAGGGCAAAACCCCTTGTTCAATGGATCACTTTGCTTTTTTTCCTCCTCTATGTCTGGTGTTGCTGTTTTTATTCTGGTCACTCCTGCCAACAGTACAGACTCTGCTGCCAGCAAGGAAAGAGAGAGAAAGGGGAAGACACACACACACACACACACACACACACACACACACACACACACACACACACACACACACACACACACACACACACACACACACACACACGCATGCACGCACGCACGCACGCACACATGCACGCACACACACACACACACACACACACACACACACAGAGATTAGGGAGAGAGAGAGAGAGAGAGAGAGAGAGAGACAGAGAGACACCCCCCCTCTCATCCAGAAGGAATTGAACTGTCTGCCAAACATTTGCATGGATATTGAGCATACTAATCTGTGAGAGTCAAAAGAGAGACAGAGGAAGAGCAAACCAAATACCCTAATAATTATCTTTCCTCATTGGCTCTAATGTTCACCCGGTTGGTTCTTAAAACAAGCAGTAAAAAATGTTTCTGCTATTGCTCTTAAGCAAGTGATCCAGAAAGCATAACAGCAGAGGGAAAAGAACACAGCGACTATCAGCATGCATCTACAACATATCAGAACAAGACATTACAAACTCACTCGCTGCAGGAATGATCTGGAAACAGCAGTGCACTGTGCCTGGCAGTCCATGTAGAGAAGTCAGTCACAGTGGTAAGCAACGAAAAAAGAAAACGGTCTGCATCCCACATAGAGGACAAGGAAAAAAGAACCTGAGAAACATCAGCCTGCAAGCCTGTGCAGTCTCACAGCAGATTCATCAGGATAATTTTCAATGTCAGTCCTGTAACAGATATCATAAGTGGAGGGAGGACCAACATCAGTCCACTCTCAACTTTAGAGAGCTTTAGTTACTACTAAAATTGTACTTTTTGTTGCGAAACAGAGGACTTGACCCCTGGAGCGTCAATCATCTTACTATACAGTATCTCAACAACCAGTCTTACTATGTACTTTTAAAAGTAACTTCAAAGAGATAGATCACATAATTACACATATGGATTACATATTTATTCTACGGTCTTCCAAAGTCAGAGGTCAACATATTGAGCAGAACCAATCACAGCAGGATTCTCCTCTCTTGTGATACCACCTGTACATGCAGGGTCATCAGTATCATCACACTAACACAGGCTATCGGACCTTTATCTCTACAACAATTTTGACAGCATGATCTAGCTTTGGCAAATGCATGTTTATGAACTGGGAAAGAAGGGTTGGTAAAAGAAGACAACTGCCCCAAAAAGGTTTTACAGCTTCATAATATCATAAATCACTTTAAAACATCTTTGCTGAGTAATTAAGTGTTTCACAGATCTTGTGTCCACAGCAGAATTGAACTGGAGTTCGATCCAGAACAGGAAACATCCTCTCCAGGCACCTGTGTGCCGAATCATCTTGGCTTTACATTTAGCCATTACTTAAAAAACACCTCACTGCTGACAAGGCTGTCGTTGTCCAACTTTTTTTTTTTGTTCTGCCCCGGGACACATTTTTGGGATTTCAAGTAGAAGAGGTTGAGCAGAGGTACTTATTACTGGCGAGAGCTGCAGCCAAAGTCATTACTCTCTCAGACACAAACCTGACAGACTGGGCTGTTGCATTCATGCTAATGGCTTCTGCTTTCCAAGAAACACAGTATCCTTCATAGTAGTGAAGTCCACCATTAGTGTTCTAATTCCCTCATGCTGATTTCCTTAAGGTTTGGTTAGGGGTCCTTAACATATCAGATGTTAAAGGTTTGTTTGGACTGAGGGGAAAGCATCATTTCCCTTAAATCATAAAGTAGAGTACGGCTACGGAACACATATTTGTACTCAAGTAGAATATCAATTAATATTGACCCATCTCCTCATTTCTGGGGAATAAGGAAAATCTGTTTAAGTTGTATCTCACATTTACCCATTTCTCTTTACATTTTGTGTAAAAACACATTTTGAATAATTTCACAATCCTTTAAACTGATCAAAAACAAGTTATTTGGAAGAAATCTCACTGGTATAACATATATATTTAGATACTGCCAAAAACAAAGCCAAGCATTATTCATGGGAGCTAAATGAATAATGACACTAAATGATGGATAGTACAAGGACAGATTAAGAAGAGTACGTAACCTTGATGTTAGACGCCGGCCTGATTAATTACTGGGCCAACAAGTAAATATAATGAGCTGCCGGACTTGGTTATTAACTTAACACAACAGGTTAGTATATAAGCCCATTCAATTGTTTAGATAAAACAATTTAATTTTGTATGGCTTTAAACACCTGAGCTTCGATTGCACCAACGTGCCCTAACTCTTTATTCAAAGCCAATTGCAATGTATAACTGCTAACAATCTTCCCATTATCATACATAGTGGAATAATGATTTCAACAAGTCAAACATCTGTTTTTCAACAAACTCATCAGATACATGACAAAAAGCACACTGAATGGAGTCCAACAAATCTATTAGTCAATAAGATGAAACATTTGAACTGCACTCAGCTCTTATGATTACAATAAATCATTACTTACAGTCCAAACATCAGGAGGACACTGACCTAATGCTGTATCCAGCATGGTGCTATTCTTTCATCGTTTGATTTAAGACCAAAGGCCCCAGCTGACTAGTCTGTTTGGGAAGCAAAAGTGTACTCTGGACCAGAGGAGTGTTTTTCTCCATTTATTTGAAAGTCTACATTTCTATTTTAGCTCATGTCTGGTACTCCTTGGCGTGTGTTTTTGCCAAAAAAGCTGAGGCTGAACATTGACTTTGGTGAGACATGGAGAGGGGTCCCACAGTACTTACTGTTATATATTAAACTATACACTGTAGTTTCCTTATAACACTTTGCTGTAAAGGCTTTCATTATTGATAAGTAGAATGGAAAAAGGATGCTTTTTTTCTATCCACACAAAATACTTATTTTTCTTAAATACTCTGTAAAAACTGCTTACAATTGGTAAGCCAAGAGAACTCATCCATCTGACAGGTATTGCAACTCAAGCTTATTAAACAGCATGATTATTACATGTGTACCTTGGGCTGGTCACAATAAAAGGCTACTCTAAAATTACCTGTTTATCTAAATTTGATTTATTAGGTATACTCTAAATTATGAATTTCACATGACTATAGCTAGAGATATGCATTTTTTGGTTTTGCATTTCTTGAACCAGATTTTCTCATCTGTGAGAAACCTTCTTCAAAAGTGAAAACACCTTTAAGTGTGAGAATTTGCTCACTTAGAGTTGGTAGCGAAGACTGACTGCGGTCCACTCAACAAGTAACCTGCTAAGGACAATTCATTTTCTGACCGTTTGTGCAAAGACCGTCTGATTTGCAAACCAACAGCTTTGCATCAGCTGTTCGGCAAAGATGATCTTGCAGGTGAAAAAGGCACATATGGAGGTCCTGGGTTGGCATGGTTACATGTACATGTGAGGTTGTGAGGCCTGTTTCAAGTACTGACAAATGACATGAGAGATAGTTATAGAGACGGTTATGTCCGTGAAATGAACATTGCCTACATTTCAGTAACAGCTCATACAGTACTGCAGTCAGCATGCTGGTCTTCTCACAAATGTCTTACATCGACAGCATTGCCTTGTCTTATAAAACACGCAAAAGAGGCCTTTTATTTCGACCAGCCAAAGAAACCCCTGTTGTGCTTTTGTATTTTTCTTAAGTCGAGTCTTATTTTTCTCATGACAGTGACAGTGACAGTGTAACTATGTTTCTTTACAGAAAAAGGAGTAGAAGTGGGTTTTTTGTGTTTAGAAGCCAGTAAACGAGTGCTGATACAATCGAGGGTTGTTCTGTCACCAGTACTCGGCCACTTGCCAATCATATCCTCTGATTGTGAGTCTGATAATAGTGAAATCATGTGCTCCAAGCACCTAAACTTCTAGGTGAGTTTGGACCTTCTTTGTGCCTTTGTCACATTTCATTTCCCAACATGCCGCAACATGCATGCATCCTTGGTTTTCTCCTGGAAACAACTAAGGATTACAAAAGACACTTGCTTTAATGGCTTTGCACCGTTGGCAAAGCATCACAACATAATCCTCGCCAACTTTCCAAGTACTTTTGGCTTAGGTCGAAAGGAAATTAAGTCAACCATGTCGACTCACTGAGGTACAAGTATAAAAAGTACATTAAATTATAGAAATACACTAATTACTTCTCTTCTCAAAAACGTAATGATGTCGTTTTCTCGGTTCAGCAACCAATTTGAAACCAGACATACAACTCAGTCGGCTATTCCAAATAAAAATAACCCAAAGAGAACAGCATTGCTCTAAAACATGACAGATAGAATTAAGAGTATAAAAAAAGATAGAGAGCTTACCATTAATTATTCTTCACTAATGTGCAGAAGTGGTGCAATCAATATACCAATTATTGACATTATAGAAAAATAAATTGTACTTTGATTGGTCACTTTTGAGAATGTGCAACACGTGTACAGCATTCTACTGTATTTAAATATGTAGATTGTGTAGACTGTGGCTCACATATTCCTTTCCCAACCCATTATGGACATGATGTTACATGCATTCAACATCTGTTACCTAAACAGAAAACACTTTTTGGGTGGCATCCACAATGAACTGAACTGAGTGGGCTGCCTGTGATGGTCGTATGTTCAAACAACTAGTATACTGATACAGATGGAGTTAGTTTCTTATGTTATTCTTGAATCAGTAGGGTAAATTACTGTATAACCAGGGGTGCACACAACTTTCTCAGTGAGTGAGTGTTTGGTACTCCAACTTCTGACGATTGTCAACGGGGGGGGGGGGGGGGGGGGCTGGTAGTAGAGTACAGAGCTTCGTGACCGCGGAGCGTGTGAACGTTGTGATCAGCTGTTTTAGCGCAGGGCTGCTGTACAGACCGACGTTAACAGCAGCCCTGTCTGTCCGGTGAACTAACCGCCTTCTGGAAAAGCTTCACATTTACGTCGGTACGCAAATGCGCTTTGTGACACAAGTGACGGTACGCATTTCAGATTGTTGCCGCGC